TACATTCTTGAATGATCACAGAAATATGTCCTCATAACTATCTAAAGTAACCAAGACTAATAGATACAACATGTCGCCATTGATGGCGTTCATAGTGGTTCTCGCTCTGACGACCCTTTTAACCTTCTTTTCAGCCAACGCTGCAGATCTTGAAACCTACATTGTCCACTTAACCTCACCCAATGATCTAGAATTTTATCAAAAAGAAGATCGCCAAAGCTGGTACAACTCATTTTTGCCGAAAACCACTACAGTTTCGATTGACCAACCAACCATGGTTTTTGCATATCATAATGTGCTTACGGGGTTCGCAGCAAAACTGTCTGTGGAGCATGTTAAGGCCATGGAATCCATTGACGGGTTTGTATCCGCAAGACCTCAAAGATTTTACAAGACACAAACAACTCATACACCCAACTTCTTGGGCTTGCACCAAAACTTAGGGTTTTGGGCTAGTTCCAACTATGGAAAAGGTGTGATCATCGGTGTTCTAGACACCGGAACAACTCCAGGCCATCCTTCTTTCGATGACACCGGAGTCCCTCCTCCACCAGCAAAATGGAAAGGAAAATGTGAAATTTCAGGATGCAATAACAAGTTAATCGGATTGCGGGATCTTACCGAGGGTGAAAATGGTACGCGATTTGATCAAGACGGACATGGGACCCACACTTCAAGCACCGCGGCTGGAAACTTTGTCAATGATGCAAATGTATTTGGAAATGCTCAAGGAACCGCGGTGGGGATGGCCCCACTCGCACACTTGGCAATGTATAAAGTGTGTACGGTGGAAGATTGTACGGAGAGCGCGATCTTAGCAGGCATGGATGCCGCGGTTGAAGACGGTGTTGATGTGCTTTCACTCTCACTTGGTGCAGAATCCGTTCCCTTCTATGAAGACGGTATCGCGTTAGGTGCATTTACTGCTATACAAAAAGGTATTTTTGTAGCATGTTCGGCCGCTAACTCGGGCCCGTTTAATTCAACGTTATCAAACGAGGCCCCGTGGATTCTCACCGTAGGGGCTAGCACACTCGATCGGAAAATAGCCGTATCCGTTTCTCTCGGAAACAAAGATTCCCTCGATGGTGAATCGTTATTCCAACCTAAAGATTTCCCAAAAACCCTACTCCCTTTGGTGTACCCGGGCTCGAATGGGGTTCAAGATACCGCATGGTGTGCGGAAGGATCATTGGACAAAGTTGATGTGAAAGGGAAGCTTGTAGTGTGCGATAGAGGTGGGGGGATCGCGAGAATTGAAAAAGGGCAAACGGTTAAGGATACGGGAGGCATGGGGATGATTCTTTTGAACCAAGAGTCCGATGGCGCAAGTACATTAGCCGATGCTCATGTTCTCCCCGCATCACACGTCGGTTACAAGGAAGGAATGGCAATCAAGGCGTACTTGAACTCAACCGCGTCCCCCATGGCCACTTTGGTATTCCGCGGGACTATAATCGGCGTTGATTCTGCTCCCACGGTTACTTCCTTTTCTTCAAGAGGGCCAAGTCTGGCGAGCCAAGGAATCCTGAAACCCGACATTATTGGCCCTGGCGTCAGTGTTGTTGCAGCGTGGCCTGTGTCTGTCGAGAACAACACACAAAGCCTCGCTACATTTAACATTGAGTCGGGCACTTCAATGTCTTGCCCGCATCTCGCAGGCATAGCGGCATTGTTGAAATCCGCTCACCCGTATTGGTCGCCCGCGGCTATTAAGTCCGCGATCATGACCACGGCCGATCAAGTTAGCCTAAACGGTCAACCAATTGAAGATGAACGCGAGCTCCCCGCGGACATTTTTGCCATTGGTTCGGGTCATGTAAATCCATCAAAAGCCAATGATCCCGGGCTTGTTTTCGACATTGAGCCTGATGAGTACATTACTTATTTGTGTGGGCTCGGTTATACAAGCAAACAAGTTGGAATCATTGTGTCAAAAAGTGTTTCATGCTCGAAAACTATCCCAGAAGCAGAATTAAACTATCCTTCCTTTGCAATCACATTAGCAAGTGGCCAAAAGAAAACATATACAAGAACAGTGACAAATGTTGGTGAGGCTAATTCGAATTATGTTCTGTCGGCGCAGAATATTAGTGTTCCATATGGAGTAACTCTTGCCATTAGCTATCCTCGTTTGGTATTCACCGCAGTGAACCAAAAGTTAACGTATGAGGTAACGTTTATGTGGGATAGTAAGGTGAAGATCGATGTTCCTTATGGCCAAGGAGTTATGGCTTGGAGTTCGGGTAAATACTTGGTTCGAACCCCGTTTTCTATAAAGTTTGTATAAAAGAGAATGGCGATTGGAGGTCGTTCTATATGAAGTTATGCATTTTCTGCATCTGTTTTCGTTGTTTCTATCGGTTGAAATGTTCGTCAATGCTTGATCTTTTCTTTTGTAATGGTACAAATACGATATAACAAAATCTAATTTGTCCCAAATTCGTGGTATCAGAATGCTAGTTATTTGTCGTTTCATGTCGAATGAATTTCAATTCCACAGAGGCGTTTGGTTCTGCCGACTTTGTGAAATTTGATCTGGATTGAAACTCAATTCCATTCTATTTAGGGGTTTGGATTAATATAACAAAAGAGCATATAATTGGATTTTACTGGAATTCACAAAATCCTTTGGTGAGTTAGAATATTCTAAAGTCATGTCATGGAATTCAATTCCAAGCATTTTCTATGTAGTTAAGATACACAAAAACATTTTTATATATTCAAAACGATCATCTAAAAGAAACATGACGTTTAGCGACGAGAGAAGTCGTCTTTGTCTTGGTGCAATTTTGTGTGATAACATGTGGTCACTGCAGGAAAATTTACCAATGCAAGTTTTCTCTTTCAAATCTTGCTATGTATAGTTCATTTTTACTTTTAAAAAATAGCATTTTTCATCTTGCAATATATAATTTTGCTTTCCACTTAAAAATAGTTTTCGAAAATTCTGTTTGAAAACATTAGCTCTTAGATCGTGATTGACATGTATAGTTTATTTTTTTCTTTTACCAAAATATAGTTAAAATTACATTAATGAACAAGAGTTAGTCAACATTTATAACTCGTTTCCAAATATTCGTATATAGTTATAACACAAGAATGTATGTACAAACAACTAATAAAGAATCTTTATTTCTTTTGTTTAAAAAAAAATGTTGTTCTTTGTTAATGAATACACTTTCATGGTCCCCGGAGCATCATATATTGTATAACATGAATTTTCCGATTTTCATAGTTAATACAAAGATCAAGAAGTAAAGAAGGTACGCACCGTATCATAACTCGAAAGTTCAAAATCAAAAAAGATGGGAGTTGCCAAAAGGGGGAAGGATATGAACGGGATATCAAATCCTCTCCTTATCACTCTATGGAAACAACGATCCACCCCTTTGAAGGTTTGTCTATCCCTAAGGTCCTAATAGAAATAAATAAAAGATTTTTGTTTTTAAAGGTTGAATCATGCTTAAATTTCTAACATCTCAATCTCTTTCTGGAAAGACGAATTCAAATTTATGATTTTTATTTGTTTCTAAATCTCATTTTGATCATAATATCCAGGATTAATAATAGTTTTTAGATTATCTTGTTATTTAGATTAATTTGGATGTGTGATTTTGTTTTACATTTGTTTTCAATTTTGTGATGTAATTAATTTGGATGTGTGATTTTGTTTTACATTTGTTTTCAATTTTGTGATGTAATTTGTCAAGTGTCTTCAATCTTCAATACACTTATTATTCTTTATGATTTAAAAATAGAAAATTTGTAATCTTACTAATTTTGGGTATGGAATTTTGTTGTTCTCAAATTAGAATTCTGTCTTTATTAAAAATTATGAAATTATATGAAAATATGGATTGATTTTATCTTTAACATGAATGGAACCCAACTCGTACAAGGTTTGTGAATTATTATTTTTATTGAAATTGTGAATCGATTTTAATGTTTTTATCTAAATGTTTTTTTAATGGCCAACTTACAAAAATAAACAAACAGTCGAACAAAACTGTAACTCTACAAGAGTATGTCTATTGATTTGTTTGCATTATTTCATAATTTGTGATAAACTAATAAAGTGATATATCAATTGTGATTTGTTTGCAATTTAATTCTTATTTTATTACTTATGACGGTTAATGACAAATTGTATATGATTTTTTTCATTTGAATGTAATTTTATTTGGGTTTTAATTTGTTGAAAAACAACTCATACAATTCTAGTAATAATTTGTTTTTATCTTGTTACTATTTACTAGTTATCTTTTTTTGGTTAATAACATAAAAACCACTATATTTGGATATTCTTCTCGCTTTTAACAATCAAAATTTAATTTGTTCTAAAAAACCATTTATTTTTGGATAAAAGTTCTATGGAAACTGATATGAACCGCAAATGACATTCAAATAGATAATGTTCATTTGTTGTTATACAAAAATCATCCATATTTACAAAAAATTCAATCGCAACCACTATTTGTTTGTTGTTAATATATCAAAATGTGTAGTCTTTTGTCATCTATAAACAGACAACTATATGGAAACTTTCATCTGTTTGACCGACATTTGCATTTCATAGTGTTTGCGATGAAACTTTTATCTAAAATAGGTGATTTTTTAATACAAATGAAAATTTGGTGATTAAACTAGGAAAAATAACAAAATATAGTGCTTTTATGTTATTAACCCCTTTTTTTAATGTTATTAGTAGCTTTGCATCTAAAAATATTAGAATAAATATTTTTCATAGTTTAATGGATTTTTGTGATATTTGGGTCCTTAAAGAGCCTTATTTTTTCTGCTTCAAGACTAGGAGACTCCCCAGAGTTGGTTCATCATTTTTGGTGAAAATATAAAAACGTCTTGTCTTGCATTTGCAAATGTCGTTGCATTACCCCTCCTAGCCCTATGGGCCTATAGAGAGCCGATGCTTCTTACCCAATGAGCATAAGGTGATGGTTAATAATTATCTTTATTTAAGATTATTTACATTTCATGTTATTTGGTAGGTTTACACATGGAAATATGCAAAGTACTAAAATTATGATTTATGTGACAAATTTAACACAAATGCTATGAACCATGCTTTTATGTTGTTTCGATTCTTAGTATTGTCATGGATGCACGGGGCTTTTCTCTACATCAACATCACCAACGGGTAGCTCAATGTCAAGTTGTGAGGTTGTTTGTATAGACGAAGATACAGAAGTATAAGCCACAATCCCGAAAAAAGAACTGAAAAATGAAAACAAGGCACCAGCTACAAAGAGCCCGGGCTTTACAGCGTAGCACGTAAGCCTACCATGGTATTTTTCTTGCATGCGCTCTTGATTATATAGCACCAAACCAGCTAAAAATAGAATCACTGCTACAACCGACGCTATCCTTGATTTTTCCAAAAAACAAAAAAAATAAAAAATCATGTCAACTCAAAGAAATTTATAACACCAGACTAGTCAAGATTTTTTGTATTATTTTGACTAAACTGCACAAATAGTCCTTGTGGTTTGCTCAAAATTGCCCATTTGGTCCAAAAATGTTTGGACTAGCACCAGACACACACACAGAGAGAGAGAGAAAGATTTATTTTATTTTTATTTTTATTTTTATTTTTTATTTTTTTAAATCTAAAAATAAGAAAAAAAAAGAAAATCATATTAACAGGGGCAAATTCGTCATTTTGAAAAAAATCAAAACAGATTGGACCAAACAAACAACAAAATGAAAACTTTGGACCTTTGGTGCTAGTCCAAACCTTTTTGGACCAAAGTGGTAATTTTGAGCAAACCACAGGGACCATGATGTGAATGATAAGGTCATGCACGTCTTTTGCACAGACGAGAATGAGAGAGTCGGTGCTTTCCTTTTTCTGGGCAGGGCAACAAATTGCAATTTTGTTAGTCGTTGGTCGTTCCCAAGAGTATGGACCAAGCGCATAACAAAAACAAAGAGTATGGACTTTCCGAGTTAAAAAAATAAGTTAGGGACCAAAACGCGTAAATTATCCCAAACCATAGGGACCATTCGTGTAATTTACTCTTTTTTTTTACTGCATGTCACCCCAAAATTTCTCATGCCAACTCCATTTTGGAGTGTTTCATATGAGGTGATTAGTTAGCACTAAGCCAACTTGATGATGGTATGCTCGCAAGATATATATAGTCCAACAATCTAAAATTTCACATACCATGACAAGATATTGAAGACATTACTGTTTTTGATCGGGGTTGATGTGTAGCCACTAGGACGACAACAGCACCCGACTACAATGAGTAAAAGGATTCGACTTATTATTGTGCACACAAGCGCCAATATTCCAAATCGGATCGCATGACTACTAGGATAAACACATGATAAATGCTCGATATAAACTTTTGATGCCTGCATTAGGTGCAACATACGAACATGGTCAACGACTATTGCAATGAGTTGATGTTATGGAAATATGATGAATTTTTTTGGTGTTATTGTTACCTTAATCCTAGTAGGTTCAGCAGCAAAACCTGCTACCATAGATGTTATTCCAAGCACCGCCACGATGCCGCTAACCACCACCACTTTGGCCATCATTTATGAGCTCAGGTCGACCACAAATCAACTACCTTTTGGGTCTACACGACTTGTTGAAACACCCACGAGTAAGACTTGTTGAAGATGAAAGCTTATGCACCCTTAAATATATGCAATGGAAATTACGACGAATATTCATTTTTCTTGTCTTTTCTTTTTGTCTATGTTTGCAGTTTGCTTTATGTTTTGATTTTATTCAAAAGTCCAGAGAAATTAGGACAAAGATAATATTTTGTGTGATTTAAATTATTTAAATAAAGGTTTTTATGTTTTTCACGACACTGCTTTGTTGAAATTTCAAATTAGTTTCGCAACCTAATTAAAAACTATTATAAACCTATATTGAGAATATTAATGTCTCTTTTATTGTTCAAATGTAAATGTACATGACTACATATAACATATTAACATTTAACTTTAAGGTTTTTTACGATAAACACGCCGATAAAAATGCAAATAAAAGAAATAAAGAGTATAGGAATTGATGTGGTTCATGGAATAGATCGCATAGATTGATTTTGTATAACCAAATTAATAACAATCCAATCCACTTCATCTATAAAATGTCACCAATTAGCCAACAAAAAATCTGGCAATCCGAGACACGAATACACGAATCTCTGAGTGACACGACTCGACACAAATACACGACACGAATACATCTTGAAAATTGAGATAAATTTTATTTCTCTTCGTGTATTCATACCGTGTCAAATTTGTGGCTGACACGTTTTCATGACACGAATACACGAATTGTCATTTCCTTGTATAACCCCGCCTTTTATTTCAAGGTTATGCCATCGTAAGGTTTGCTATATAGATGGTCCTTATCAATGTCTATAAATTGTAAAACATTGATCGAACAGTTAAATCGGAAATATTGGATGCTAATAGACCTAAATCCCAATATTAAATAATATTGATGGTAAGAATATAATTTTACTATCATTACAACAAGGGTGTAACTGATTCTAGCAAACTCATAAAATATATGACACCGACTCGAAAAATAGTTAAATCAACTTGGTTCAAGAGCTCGACTTCAAGATACTCGAGTATCTTATCGAGTCGAGCTCGAGTATTGATTACTTGGTTCGTCAATTGCTTAATTGAGCTTAGTTTTTTTAAGAAAAAATCTAATGTACTCATAATTCCATATATGTACTAGACGAGATTGTACCCTCAACCCAAGGAGAGAGCATAACATCTGATACCATTGTGTACGAAGCTCTTTTGTAGTTGAGCTTAGTTACATTTACACTTTTACACTCTATTCTATTCATATTTCCATAATCACACATAGTCTATTCGAGCTTAATAGAACTTCTATAATGATTTACACTTAGTTATCCATGATTGTCACTTTGGATCTAATAATATATTGTAAGAAATAATGACTTAATGTTTTCAGTAAGTTTAAGGAATGACATGACCCTAAGAAATATGAAAATATAACTAAGCTCGATATAAAAATAGTCGGAATCGACTCATGAATTTAAATGCTCGAGTTCGAGCTACTCGAGTATCTTATCGAGTCAAGCTAGAGCATTAAATTATTGGCCCAGTGAAGCTCTCGAGCTAATTGAGTTTAGTTACATTTACACTTTTACGCTCTATTCTATTCATATTTCCATAATCACACCTAATAAGTTAATAAGTTAGAGCAAGTTCGTGCTTAAAATGAATTTTTTTATATATAATTTAGGGTAATAACTAATAGATTCGAGTAGAGTCGAACCGAGCTTTAAAGTGTTGATTACTTTATCGAGTTTGAGCATGTGTTGGAATATTATGGCTCGGTCGAGTCGAGCTCGAGTTTTTTTATTCGAACCGATTTTCGAGGTTGTCAGTACACGACTCAGCTTGTTTACAACCCTAATTACCATCGGTTGTCACTTTGGGACTAAAAAGCCTTTATATACATCATACTTCAACTATAAGTATATCATAAGAAATAATGATTTAATATGATCAGTCATACGTTTAGACTAATCTTGGTTTGTTATGATTCCCTCACAACAAATGCATGTAACGTTAATGGAAGCAATCACACAACTATTGTGAAGAAACCATGTTGAGCTCTAATTAATATGAACTTCTTGATAAATACAACTTTTGTTTCACTCAATGAAGCTATTTACTCAGCTTCCGAAATGGAATCGACAATGGTTATATACTTTGAACTTTTCTAGCTAACAAAAAAAAAATCATCTAATTAAACAAAACACAAAACCTGAATTATACTTGAAATAGTCTTGGCATGCAAGCTCACATATGTGTAACCATTTATAAGAAGTTCTTCCTAAGACCATGTTTATTGGACCAAAAGAGTCGACCGGTTGGTTGTATAATACATATATAAATCAATAAAAAAAGAGAAAATACATAGGGGGTGTCTTGAGTTGATGATCCAAGTAGGGTAGCCATCAAAGATTGCAACCTTACTTCTCCAATCCCCACAAGCCACGTGTATTTTTATACTTCTAATTTTTAATAAAAGTGTAAGTATTATATATAAATGGAAAAGGAAATAATATTTTATATGTTAGGTTGGGTTGTTGATAAATGATAAAAATGTTAAGATTGGTAGTAGTATTGGTTGTATAGATGGAAGGGTGAAAAAATAATATTTTAAAGAAAAATTGGGTTGTGACCTATCATTGCTAAACATAGTCTAAACACCTATGTATACCACAAATATCTTTTTCATATGTTTTCGGGTGGTTATTTTCTTGGTTTTGATTGTTTCTGTTAATATTCATATAGAATATAATTCCTTGGTAGTCTTGGTTAACTAGTTTTTTAATTATTTGTTTTTCCCAAATGAATGTTGTGTTCACATCAACACTATGAATTAGTTTAAGAATCCCTACACATAAACACCAAAGATCCAAAATATTACATACCATAACAAGATATTGGCTACTAGATCAAGGTCAAAGTAGAGCTACATGCGCAACAATCGCGCAAAATAAAAACAACCATCAAGTTATTGTACATCAATCCTTTATCAAATTACACCATTTCACAAATTAAAAGAGAAATACAAAATATTATGATTCAAGATTCCGCAACGGGAAAAGCGGATCCAAGTTTAGTTCCAAGGTGATAACACTTGATATTCACGGAGTATGGACCAAGTTCAACATAGTTCTCTTCACCTCCCATATAAAAACATAATGTGTATAAAGCAATCTCAAATTCCGGACTCACTCCAATCAACGTGCTCGATACCGATTTCAACACACCGTTCCATTCAAATTGGATTGTCAGCAACTGACTCTCGGAGTCAGGCTGCCAATATAGGTAATGTACTTTATTAATAATTATTTAAACCAGCAACATACTTTTAATTTTTATTTTTCACAATGAACTTGCATTTCCTTACCAATAATAGCAACATTTTTTTACACATTAGTTTCTTTACTCATAATAGCAATGTACTTTCGTTTATCGCTAAGAATATGGGGATTGTAATTTATTTTTTGCATATTGGTATTGTTATTATGGTTAAAAAATAAAATATGTTATATATATTAGTAAAAAAGAGTAAAGTACATTGTTATTTTGTGCAATTTGCTATTAAAAGATTATTCGATAATTATTTTGAAAAAAAATACAAGAGGAATGGATGATGGTTTGCTTACTGTCGCCCCACGCCTTCGCGGAAAGATGTATCCTTGATAATTGACTCTCCCCTTTGCTTCTTCCATGTAGAACTTCATACATAAAACAATTTCTTGGAATAAATAATCCCACATGATATAATTCAAAAAAAAAAAAAAAATCGTTTGGATCTTTCGCATAATTTAAGTATAGGTATTACTTTGTTTGGCATAACAGTAGGGCTAGTAAAGATGCTATATGAGAAAAAGGACAATTTTTTGTTCCACCAAAAAAGGTGGGACCAATACTGATGTTAATGAGACAAAAATGTCAACTTTTTGTCATCTGATGTTAATGAGACAAAAATGTTAACTTTTTGTCGTGTACAAAAACGTGGAACACAGTAGGACTAGTACAGTACTAACGTTGATGGGATAAAAATATTAACTTTTTATCTCACACAAAAAGGTGAAACAAGTTGAGACAGTGTCAATTGGACAAAAAAGACAACATTTTATCATGTGTAACAAATGCAGCCTAAAAAAGACGACAAAAAAGACAACATTTTGTCATGTGTAACAAATGCAGCCTAAAAAGACGCACCTGAAGCCAATTATGGAAGCCTGAAACCGACTGTTCCCCGCGACTTTTGATTTCTCCAACAAAAACATGTTCAAAAGCCGAAGAACAACTAGAGGTGCCACCACGACCATATAAGTCAAACCAAAGACTTGTCAAAAGCCCTTTAAACTCCGCATAATCATGGGATACAATACCTTTAGCACAAAGATATTTAAAAAGGTATATAATTGGTGCAGTTCTACATATCTCTTCAATGAAACCAGCTTGTTCTTGTTTCTCTTGAGAAGTGACTTGTTCTTTATATCCTTCATGTGGATTATAGTTATCTAAAAGAGAACAGAATCGAGAAATTGTAGGTTTTTTTAGAACATCTTCACTTAACCAAGTGAAGAGGCTTCCTTCTGCCATATCTTGCTTTTGGTATGTCTTCTTTCCTTCACCACAGTCGATTTCATAGTCTTTTCCAGGTGTTAAACGGTTGTAATCAAGCTCCCATAGCTTGTTGCAAGCTTGGCTGAGGTCATTGAGTTCATCTTGTGAGGGTTCCATTTGAGAAGTATGTGAAACTTCATTAGAATATTCTTGCTCATTTGCAGGACGTTTGAAGTTTTCCCAATTGGCTTTTTGAACCTGTGAGTTTTTTGGTTAATAGATGTTGTTATTTGAAGTTAAAGAAGAATGGAATAACTTAATAATGTAATAACCTGTTGGTGTTTTCTTGCAGGCTTCTTCCCAACAGTCTCCCAGCCATCATTGTTTTCCTCTTCAGTCTGTATTCATGAACTTAAACTGTTAGATATTAAGTTATTAACAATGGTGATAGATTTGTAAGAACAACTAAACTACCTTTTGATCAGGATGCCTTTGATTATAATCATTCA